CGCGCGCTGGTGCTCTGGCGGGCTTTGCCCGTCCCGGGGGCGCCCTCGCTCCGTGGCGAGGCTTTCCACGGGCGAAGGGCTCTGCGAAACACGGGGAGCCACCGCAGCACGCCGGGGCCCCGCACCGTCACGCCCGCCGGTGGAAAACCGCTTGCTCCTGTTTTTTTGGCGCCACTGCCGCAATTGCTCCTCTAACTTGGCATCGTCGCGCGGGGAAAAGAGTAGCCCATCATTGTTCTCATGTCCGGGCTCGTCGGGCCTCGCGAAATCTTCCGCGGGTGGTTGATGCTGGCGCGGGCCGTGGCTATGACTGGTTGCTGCCCGTTGCATTGCTATGGTTCGCTGCTGCTGCCGCTGTTGTTGCTGCCGGTATCTCTCCAACATTTGTTCTTCAGCCCCCGTCATCCCAGCGGCGCGTGTCCGGCCGTAAAGGTAGGCTCCTTGAGTCCTGCTGTTGCCCTCTTGGGCCTGAGGCGGCGCCCGCGCATACGCGTGGTCCGTGTGAACGGGCGGCGGAAAAGACGGCGGCTCCGTCAGAGGCGCCTGCGGGAGGGGCGCGGCGGGCTCAATGACATGCGGACCTCCAGACCCAACTCCTCCAGGTGCCATTTCGCGGCGCCGCAACCTAAGCAGGTTGATCCCTTTTTCAGCCGACAAAATCATCCGATCCATTTCACGCAACGCGCTGTAGTAAAGGAAAATGTACTGATCTTTTCGCTGCACCATCCCGCTCCGACTCAGCCTTAAAGCGTGAACGATTTCCTTTATGTCAATGTCCTTTCGCTCAAGCTGAAATTGAGCAAGCGCCACATGCATAGCAATAAACACCCCTGTGCGGCCGATACCCCCGGAGCAGTGAACCACAATAGGGGCCTGAACGCTGCACTCCGACTTCCCCATGGTCTGTATAATCTCCATGAGAGGGGCGCTCGTCTCCGGGATGCCTTGGTCAGGCCAACCAACATACTGAAGGTGTAGCACCTGCCGCTCATCGCCACGCGGAGTATGAATGACAAGTGTGCGAAACACCAAATCAAATACCCGACTTTCACTCAGCAACCTTACTCGCAAGACGCCAAAATCCAGTTCCTTTCCTTTCCTTGGCCAGTACATCTCGCTCTTCACTTTCCCATCCTCAATTTCTCCACATAACATAACGATAAATCCCACGTCATTCTCCAAGATCATTCGCCAAAAATCAAAAACAGTATTTTGAAGTGGGGCCTGTGTCGCGATGTAAGTGAAAGGCACTCCGAACAACTTCCGTCCGTCCACATAATTTGCGTTAATGTATGCCTCACCCTCGTCCTTTCTCAGTGGTGAGATCTGCACGAGTGTACTTTCATTCGCTCGCACTTCGATAAAGCGGTTTTTGGCTGAGTTTGTGGCGAGCGAGGCGGTATAGAATTCATCAAGGTTGGTCCCAACACGGTGATCCACCTTGTTCAATTCATCCATCTCATCGTCAAAGCCATCGCGGTTGTCGAGGGACCGCCTCGTGGAAAGGCAGCGGATATGTTCGTTAAGGCCCGCTGCGATCTGCCTTTGTGCCTTGCTCATATCACGGCGTCTAAGTGAGAAGCACCACAAACCACAAACCACACACACAGAGGAGCTCAAAAGTGCCCTTGACACGCGCCCAAGATGAAAGCAGAGCAACATTAAGAACAAAAAAAGAGAGAACGGGGAAGAAAAGAGATAAACAAGACAGTCGAGATAGAATATATGCAAAATACGTTAAACAGGACGGATTCCTCTGCCCTTTTACACACACACACACACACTCTCTCTCTCTCTCTCCATCTCCCTCTTGGCTTTCGTTTTGCTTCTCCCACACTTTGGGTTTTGGTTCCAAGCAGCAAACAACACGACAGTCCCCGTCAAATGGGGTTGTGTGCACCCAACAAATAGTGCGGAGGTCTTGCTGTGCTCATACTTTCGCAATTATGCGGTTATACATAGGTGCGCAGGTAGCGTGCCCTTCTTGCTGGTGTTTCCGTCTTCTCTCTTAACGCGCGTGGATGTATATATATATGTGTGTGAAAAACTCATCTTGCAACTTCTGCAAACGTGCTGAAGCAAGCTACCACGACCACCGCCGTTTCTTTACTCAATGCTGCGGTTGGGGAGCGCCATCCAGGTGGGGCAGGGGTCCGTGTTTCCCAAGCCCTTTTTACCAATTGCACACGCCGGTGCCGCGCAGACTTGCTATTCGTCATCCGTGCCTGCCCACCAAAAGAGCAAACCTGAAATGCCGGAGCCAAAAAGTGGCGGTGTCGTTTCCCAAACAAAAAACGCGGCACACCAACAAAGACAGCGAAAGAAGCA